TTTTGGGTGAACTATTCCTTTTCATTACTCCTATTCCTTTAAAAAAAAGTTTAGATTTTAATATATAAAGTAAAATTGGACTCGATGTGACGTTGACATGTCGTTCAGGGGACTTTAGGTGAGTGTCAGTGTGCATACAAACACACACCTCTCTGTTTTAACCAGTGATTCTGCTGTTGTTCCACCTATTCGAGCCCTATGTTCTCATTACAACCTTTTAGTGCCCAGGCTTATGAATGTTTCACAGCAAGACAAGACTGTCCATGTGTTCGGTCATGCCATTAAAGAAACTTAGTGATTATGTGATCAATTATTCATCTCACATCATGCATGCAAGAGCAGGGCCTAAGCCTGAATAAGGAGGTGTGCTGATGTCTGTGGAATGACCTGGCTGTTCTGCTCTAATAAAAAGAAGCCATATTTCACAGAGTCAAAGGCAGAGATCAGATATGAACCATGATATGCAGTGTAAGCATGATTCTGATACTCTGATAAACCTGTCAATCAAGTAATGAGTTAGCGGAGACAAGAAATTCGTTTAAAGTGAGCTGGAGGGACAGGACTGACCTGACAGTGGCTGTCCTGCTGACAATGGGGTTTATGGGAAGGGGTCGGATTCCTGGGAAGAGGCCCTGGCTCATCATTCGAGCTCCGTTCTGGATCACTCCCTGAGGGACTGGGGAGAAAACACAGATAACGTGGATTAATGGACAGAGTAGCTGCAAGCTTATGGGAGCACAAATTCCTAATGCAAACAATTCAAAAGCATCACACCATGTTTAAGCTTTTAGAAATCAGCTTTAAATGGTTTTAATTCCAGCTGTTGATGTTGCAAAGGTGAAATTTTCCTGTTGTTTCAAATAGGTTCAGACAGTCAAAAACCTCATCAGTTCTCTTACAAGAGTCCTCTCGTGTTGCGTAAACTAGCTTACGCTATGGGAAAATCCATTGGCCATCGGTCAGAATATGGGGTACCTCACCATGACCGTCACCGAGACACTTGTGGCTGACACTAGCCAACATGAAGGAGTCTGACAGAGCCACGTTTCTCGACGCATGTGTCTCCTGCCGGCCTCTTCGGTTAAAGGCTTCACCGAGCGTTTCTACGAGGTGCAGAAAATGTTGCAGGCCTTGCAACATTTTATTCCGAGAACAAGGTTACGCTAGTAACCGAGTGTCATTTCAATCTGTTGAGCTGGCTTTTGGAACTTTGAACGCATGTACATAAACTTTATTACAGGTAAGTAAAAAAAAAAAAACAGAACCCTCTAAATACATATAAATATGGATCGTCAAATTGTTTTCCGCATTCAATCAGGAAACAACCAAACCAAATGGAAAATGAATTGCTTTCCAAGTTTCCTCTGTAATGTGAGGAAGAAAGTATCCCAGACAGATAAAATAACAACCAAGATTGTACTACCACCTGAAGTATAAAGGGATAAAAAAAAAAGACAAGAAAAATTGCCAGGTCACTTGATTCACAGGGAAGTGGGCTGTTATTTGATTGTTTTCATTCTTCTAATACTGATTATGCTACAAGCGATAAGAGCTCACTTTTTCTGAATGACTTCCCCTAAGAGCCCTGAATTGCATTGCCTCAAGATAATGAGTATTGCAATACATTACATTCATGTTATATTCATGTTTTATTAAAGGAAAATACAAAATATAGTCTCTACAAACAAGCTAAAATGAGATTTATCAAGATCATGACCAAACAATTGATACACCTCTTGATGTAAAATAACATCACAACATTTAGGTGAACCAAGTTTTGGTCAAGATCTTTGTATTGACAATGCAAGAGTCGAGCCCTCTGTAAAGTCTCCTCCAGCACATCCCAAGGGATGTCAGTGAATTTAACGTCTGGGCTCAGAGATGCCAATTCATGTGTGAAAACGATTCTTCAAGTTCCCTCCCAACCATTCTTTCCCAGTTTGAGCCCAATGAATCTTGACATTGTCATCCTGAAATATGGCCATAATGTGTCTCCCCACATTCTTGTTTAAGAAATGAAAAGCTACCCAATCCATCTACAGTATAAGGGTTAGAAAAACTTTTGCCAAACATATAACATGCCAGAAACATATAAACACAGCAGTTATGATCCAATCATAGACATTTGCCTATTTAAATCCAAACAGTTACTCTTTTTTTGGCCGGTCAGAATGCATTTGAGATGAGCAGCATCCTCTTTTAATAAGGGTTAACAAGTGACGCCAAATTTTCAGCGCTGCAGTCAAACGGGCATAATGCTCGCTGCCCTTCTCTCAGTCCAAGTACGGGCAACATACAGAATAGCTCCATCTGGAAAACCAACCTGGACTCGTAGCAGATGGCGAACACAAAAAAAGCACAAAATAACCATCCATTTAGAATCCAGCACACTGATCTAGCCATTAGGCAGGAGCATTGTTGCCTTGGCAACTGGTCCCCCTATGTATGGCATAGTAGCGGAACTCAGAGGTGACAGTGAGTTGTGGTTGTGAAGCCGAAAAGAACATCTGGGCTGGCGGGGTGCCCTCTTCACCCCGCCCCCCAAACCCTGAGGGAACACGCTGCCATAACAAGGTGAAGCGATGCCCTGTGACAGAAGCCGTCCCAGCTGACCAAGTGCACAATGAGAATTGACAGAGATGTGCGTCTCTCCACCAATTAGCGTGGATGGGCTAGCAAAGTGAATGGCTAATGATCTCGCCCCATTGTAGGCGGTTCATGTCGAGCCATCCATCCAGGCATCAGAAACAACAGCGGGACACAAAAGCGAAGCACATTCAGAGTGCAGCCACATCAGGAAGGAAGCCAGTGAGGCTTTTGTGCCTGGGGATGTTCCCTCTTTTATGTGCATGAGAGCTGTTAAACAAAGGCTAGCTCCATTGAAAAGAAATCCAGATCTGCAATCGCAATGAATGGCTTCACGTTAGCACCATTGACCGAGATTTTCTATGTGGCATTATGCGCAGATAATGCTGCGTTTAACAGCAGGTAATAAATAAAGTATCGCGGATGGTGACTTCCAGGAAGCTCAGTACACACACGCAACAGGACGCTCACGGCGAGGCAGAATATGGAGCTGTGCAAACATCAGCAGTGATTCAGTGGCGTTTCTGTCACGCCGATGCTCATGGGAAGGTGTCCTGGCGCTCTCACAGGGCACCGCAGAGGCAGTCAGTGCACAAATGCTATCAGACTGTTCATTTGCTCGCTCGCTCTGCCTTCCTCTCAAGCACATTAATGTATGTGGCAGATGGCCCAGGAAACAGTGGCCCTACACAATTCTGTATTGAGAAGTCAGTTTCTCTCTAACAACCCTATTCTAAAAGGGGACTGTTGAGTTGATTACCAGCACACTGTTTGTTTCCACTAAAAAATATTTTGTAGGCTACAGTACATCCATTTTTATTACTGCAATCAGGGTTATTAAAGTGAACTGAAACTGATTTCAGCTGTAGTGGCCAAGGTAACATTCCTCATTTCCATTTAGTTTAACTTGATGAACTAAAATAACTTAATATAAATTAAAATATAAAAATACTATAAAACTACTCCGCTTTGTAACCAAGATTACATTTTGAGGTTGACACAATTTCAAAAATGATGAAAAAAAGAAGAATCAGAATCACACAGCAAAACATGGAGATTACATCCGCATAATTTCCAGCTGAATTAAAAATGTCAGAATAAGAACTACTAGCCAAAATAATAATAATCATAATAATCTTTTTAAAAAATACTAATAATAATATAAAATATACCTAACTATTAATGTTAATCAGTAATTGAATGTTGATCCCTGTGTATGTTTGGTTGGAAACAGTCATTGCTGTCTCAGTCCCACTTGTCTGAAGTATAACATCATTGGTTACCCGTAAGCCACATAACACAATCACCTCTCTCTCCAACTTAAACATCACCTCATTCAAAATATTTAACAAACACTCTTCTTGTTCGGGCTTCAGTTTGCAAATGCAGGAATATCTTCAAATCCGCGGTCGTTTTCAATTTCATTAGGTCGCTAGCACTCTCAGAACAAAAGCTGTCACTGGGGCTGTACCTTTTCAAAAGGTAAACTTTTGTCCATTTTAGGTGCTAATATGTACATTTGAGGTGCAAATATGTACCTTTTATGTGATAATATGTACATTTTAGGTGCTAATATGTCAATTTCATGAGCTAATATGTCCATTTTAGGTAATATGTAGCCTACATTTTAGGTGGTAATATGTCCATTTCATGAGCTAATATGTACGTTTAAGGTGCTAATATGTACCACTAAGGTACCAATATGTAGCCTTTGGATACAAAAGTGTACCTTTTGAAAAGGTACAGGCCCAGTGACAGCTTTTGTACCTTTTTTTCTGAGAGTAAATCTCAGATTAAGTACAGAAGCAAACTGAAATTGAGCGGAAGTACGAAGTCTGACGTAGGTCAAGCTATAAAAAAGTACTCAGTAGTTAAAAAAATAAATAAATAAAAGGACTTCAGCACCTGCCTTTGCAATACTTGTCCACCAGGGGGAGTCATTCACAACAAAGCAGCTGTCTAAGGGAACATTCGGTCCACTCTTTCCGGACACAGTCATATTATTTTATCAAAGTACATTAAAAAAGTGCATCAGAATTCATAATGTACACTTAAAGCCCAATAATCTCTAAATGCTTTTCTGGAAAAACAAAGCATAAGAACCCTACATTTTTATCTTTTTAAATGTGATTTTGAACTCATTCAGATAAAATGTCACTCCAGTCTTGTTTTTTTTTTTTTTTTTTTTTTTTTTTTTTTTTTAGATAAGCTGTACCGAAAGGACTCCTTGGGCAAACTACACAACTCAGTAAAAAGTACTTTAAAACGCTGCTTATACAAAGAGTTTTAGGGCGAGAGTGCTTTTGGCCATTGTTTTCTCACAATACAGCTGGGGGCTGCGTGATTCGTACATTCGGGCCTATGACATGCACCACTGCTTCTGTTAAGCGAGCGCTTCTTTACTCACAAAAGCCAAACAGCAGGGACTCCACATCCTCTCAAGATTCAGCCTCCGAACATGGGGCTCTATGGCCACTGGGCTGCTTTCTGTATAAACACCATTAGAGGAGGAGGTGAAGGAGCTTTTGTATTCAACTGGCACACTTCTGTAAAAACAGGTTCAAGTAAGCAAGGTCAGAGGCCATATAGAGTGACTGACTAAAAGCTTGAGTTTGATATAGCGAGAAATTCTTCAGCTTTTAAGCTATGAAATGTAACGTCAGAGCAATAAACACGAATCCAAAGAGAACACAGTTCTTATTTGTCATCCAGAATGATAATCTGAAATGATTTTCAATGAAAATTTAAATCTCAATCGTCTTTTAAATGAAAACTGTGGTCTTGTCAGAAATATATCTTGCGCCCTAACAGTTCACCCAAAATACGAAACATCTGTTATCATTTATTCATCTTCACTCTCCAAACCGGTTTGACTTTCTTTCCCTAACATGGAAATATTTGAAAGAATGTTCAATCACCCTTTAAATAATGAAAGCAAAGCATACAGTGACCACAGGCTATAAAGCTCCAAAACACTATAGAAGTTCCATAAATCTAAAGCATATTATTTATAAGTCTTTGTGTATTTTTGTGAGGTCAATTCACTGATTTTTAAAAAAGAAAAAAAGTGATGCGTTACAAAAAAATCAA